CTAAGCTGTGACTATTTTATGACTCTATAATCTTTAAAAGCAATCACATAAAAAACACAATTCCCGAGTATAATTTTAAATTTTATTATTTCAAAGAGTCATCTAGAACAATGCATGGTGCCTTTGCAGAATACAAGTGCTAATGAATGCAGCAGATAGGCTCCATGTAGTCTCAAGTTTGGTATATTTAGAAGTACAAAATTCAAGCCAATGTATGCAATGAACTACTTAAACAGCACATACTGAATTATCGCAGCTCACAGCACTTCTCATGATTCCTGAACTTCACTGTCTAAAGATTACAATTTTGATATTAATTAAGAAAACATGCACTTGAGTATCTAGGAAAGTTTTAACTAGTTTTTAAATATACACAAAAACATTTGGTTCACATAACTGAATAGATTGAAGGCAATATCATTTAGCACAATGGAATGACAGTGTATGTCCTGCAACACAGAATGATTTACCACGATTACCAAGCTTAGAATAAGTTTATACAAAGCATTATGACAGTGCAACATGTCTAGTATAACTTTTCCCAGTCCATGGAAAAATTAGTTAAACAAAAGTAATTACATGCTTCCACCTATTTCCCATCGACACCAAGTCAATCTCACTAACACCACAGAACAAAAGGTAAAAAGGACAACTTGGTAGAACACCAAGAAATTTTTTTGAAACAAGCCAGAAATCTAGCATTCATGCTACTTGCTTAAAAAAAAATGCACTTAGCATAAGCAAACTGTACCTTAGATTTGATGAAGCTTAGTTGAAGAATGTGATCCTACTTTGTTAAAAGAATTAATTTGGTGTCACAAAATTCTGCCAGCAACAATCACAACCATCTCTGGGAAAATACGTACGCCCAAAAATCTGACAGAATGGCTGCCTTAAGACAAGGAGGATAAAATCTTTTCTCATCAGAGACGTGAAATGGGATTTGGGGCAAGAACAAGTGTAAGAGGCACTCACTTGAGTGAAGTAGATATGACATCCATCTTTTAAGCACGATAGAAATATTCAATTACTTGACTGACGCAGAAGGCCTCAAGAATGAAGGTTGTGTGCTATCCAATACAAACTTTAAAACCATCAAGGTCAACTTTTATTTCATTAACATTGTTCATCTATCACATTTGAAAATAAAGAATTAAATGTAGTGTGATATAAATATTTTTTAAAATGTTGGCATGATCAGACAAAGATCTAGCAGTACAATAGCTATACAAGCATATGCATAACTAAAGACCAATAGCGACTGACATTAATTTGTTGTGCACACTGCTCTGCAGCATCAGTGACACTACTTCGAGCTCACTTCAAACATTAGCTTATATCACATACAATGCCCTCAAACACAGGAGGACAAGCAAGCTCAAGTTTCAACAGGGACATTTTCTGATGAAAGGATATAAAGTGCTATTCCAAATGAAGAATAGAAACTTTTCATTTTGCTATCAGCCAAAATTTGGCAACATTTCAAATTCAAATTTTAAACTGAAACTTCTTAATCAGAAACATTTAAATGAAATAAATCTCCAGCTCAGCTAAATTTTGAAAATATACTTTGCTTGATATGGTTGCAATTCATTCAAATATATTTAAAGAAATGTAGAAATGGGTTTCATTCAGCCGTGTTACTACGGGACATTACAAAGGTTGATAAAGGTAAAGTATATTCTTCTTCGGGGCAGACAATGATATCAGAAGTCCAAAAACTCAGATTAGAGCTATGGATTTAGAGGCCTTGTTTGTTTGATGAACTATGTATATTCTCATGAGGCATAGTTTCTGTACCTTTTTTAAACTGCTATTTACTGTGTGCTAGCAAAATGTAACATTATCTACTTTCCAGATTAATAACTATTTTGACTGTTGACTGTCTTCACATGTGAAAATAATCTAACCATTTAATTTAGTTTTATTACAAATGCACTTGAAACCAATTACAAATCATTTACAATTCATACATGCAGCACTGAAAGATCTCACTTGCAAAATACATCTCAACAGAATCAGAATTTATTTCATCCAGCACTGTTAAGCGCTTTCTTATTTCAGTTAATGGACTGTTAAACTAAGTATTTTAAGGCTTTAAGTTTTGACATTTGGCATTGGTAGACATACACAACTATCTGGCTGTGCTTGCAGTGGCCTTTGTTTGTAACAGTTTGGGGTGGATTATTTCCACATGAAGAAATTTCAATTGCTACTAGTTAAATCATAATTTCTGAGGAACGTTGCTTCTGGCACAATGCAGAAACATCAACCAGTTCAATACCTGATGAAAAAGTCTAAAATCAATAATTTTCTTACCCAAAGATTCAGGCCTTACAGTACTCATAATTGCCTTAAATTGCACAATTCACTATTTTGATGTAATTGTTAATCCAGTTAAAGCTACATGTTGATGCACGCTTAAAAAGCCAAACACAATAGCCTAATGTGAAATTTAGAGGCAAGATAATTTAAAGAAATTTTTGTATAATTTGTGCAATACTTAATCCAAGAAAAAAATGCAAAAAAATATTTACTCCACAGGATGGTCAGCTCCAAAGTTTGCACAAATGATTTTACTTTAAAACCATACCTGTAAACATTCTTCTACAAAGTAACAGTCAAGACATCATCTACATTATCAATGTTACCAATAGTTAGGATTCATTGAAAGGTTCTCACTGTAGAGAGCTCGACATGCCAGTATACTCAGGGATTGAGACATGCACATCATACACAAATTATTACTTTTAAATGTAGTAAATGTAATGATTCAAAAATTGCTGTCAAGGGTTTTCAAGTTTTAGTCTTCTGTTTGCAGTTCAGCTAGCTGTCGTCGAAGTGCGTTTACTTTTGCCTGTAGATCCTTATTATATTCAATGATGTGAGTTATTTCATCCCAGGCCTCATTTAAGTATTTTAAGGAACGGTTCCATCGGAGAAACACACCTTTTAATTAGAAGGAAAATTAATCGTTTTCAAGATATATAAAGCAATCTTTCGAACTTTAGGTTTAAAATATTAGCGTGTTTTCAATAGGAACCTATATTTATTGAAATATAACAAATACAAAATATAATAAAATATAAAAGGAATAAATCCTGGTCAAATCAGTAAGTTATTTAGCTTTTCTAAGAGACATGACTTGAGAATGTGCATTAATAGCACACTTGGGTTGCACTGTGTCCTGATGAAGTGGGCTTCTAAGTACCTTGGTCAGTTAAGATTGAGAACAAAGATGTTCAAATATAATTAATTGCCCACAACATAAAACGCAGCTGTAATAATATCATGACTGAACAATACCAGAGATTCCAATGTAGTTCAGTGTTAAGCTATAGACTAAGTTTTGTACTGATTACACAATTGAGAAAACCATTGCAACACTGGGGAAACTGAAAACAAAAACAGGACTCATCAGGCATGATGTACTGCACACAGTGCCTTCAGCCAACTCTTACAAATTATTTCCAATGTACCACAGGGACAGTCGCAGTTACATTCTGTAACTCACTCCCATTTTTCATTTTATAATTTAAGGAGCATTTAGTGGTCTGAATCAAACAACCAAACAATTTCATAATTTACTTTGAGCACCTTGGAGCTGTATGAATGTACTTAAGCAGTAAACTAAAATGTTCTTTGAAGTATACTTAACGCATGACTTTACTTGCACCAAATTAATTTCATAAAAAAAGATGTACACTTGTTGACAGAAAAGCACAATACTTCAAAATAACATTGTAAAATAAAAGAAAATGCTGGATGAAGGCATGCCAAAAATCAAATCTTTGCATTTTACAGTATGAGCTTTCTAATTTAATCTTGGAAATTACATGTGCATTTATACAGTATCTTTACTATTCCCACTGTATCAAAACAAATCATCCACATAACAATCTGCTCTAGAATATTACTTGGAGATTAAAGCAGGCCTTCTAAAGGCACAATTACATGATCATGACTTTATTCAAATAAATTCTTGCCCAGTGCAGAAATCTAATTATTCATATGGACATCAAACAAATTCAGAAGCTTTGCTTCCAGAGGTTCTCATAGAGATAGAAATTTCTTCAAATTTGTTTTGAAATTAGTTCAAGGAATGTAATTTGACTGGCTAGGCCAACATTTATTGCCTATCCCTAATTGCCCAAGAGAAGGTGGGAGCGAACTGCCTTCTTGGATTGCTGCAGTCCATGTGGTGTAGGTACATCTATGTTGCTGTTTGGGAGTGAGTGCCAGGATTTCATCCCAGTGATCATGAAGAAACTGCAAAACAGTTCAAATCAGGATGGTGCATAATTTGGAGGGAAAATTGCAGTCGAGGTATTCTCATGTACTTGCTGACCTTGTCCTTTAAGTTGCTGAAGGTCCGAGGTTTAGACGGTGCTGAAGAATCCTTGGTGAGTTGTTGCAGTGCATCATGTAGTTGGTACAGGCCATTGCTATCATGTCAGTGGTGGATAGAGTGAATGATGAAGTTAGTAGATGGAGTGCTGATAAAACAAGCTTTTTCATTCTGGATGATATTACGTTTAAGTGCTGTTGAAACCATACTCATCCAGGCAAGTACAGAATATTCCATCCTACTCCCAAACTGCACCTTGCAGATGGTGGACAGGCTTTGGAGAGTCAAGTGGTGAGTTACTCACCACAGAATTCCCAGCCTCTGACTTGCTCTGACCCCAGGATGCTGAATGGGTATAAGGGTGGCTCATGTTTGAAAAGACACAAAATGACCACCAAGGGTTAAACAGAATAAAACTGCCTGCTCCAGCATTTAAGTGAAACATAATGGTATCCTTGAATAAGGTTACTCCAAGGTGAACGGGATGCCTGACAAGCAACCATCCTAGACAGTTTGATAAGAGGATGCCCAAGGATAGAAAAGCGATTGATTCCAGCCTCATTAATGAAAGGATGTTGTCTCATTAAGTGAGCAGCACCAGTTAGAACAAGGGATGTAAAGTCTTAGTCCGTGAACCAGGCAGCCTAACTCACTAAGCAGCTGTGAAAACAACAGCTGAAGTTATTTTGTAGCAATTAGTTGTTTCTTTGAAGCCATTCACAATATTAAGAAAGAGGTTGTAGTTAAAGATTCTTCAGATAATCATAGAGATAGATTTCAACATAATTATAGACACACGTATAACCGAAGTAAAATACAAGCATTAGGGGAAAAACATTTAAACCTAGATGTGAAAGTTAATTAGTCCCAGAAAACTCTTCTCTTATCTCTAAAAGATGCCTGGTATGCCCTGAATAAGTTGAGAACAATCTATTAGTTACATCCACCGCTTTCAATTACCTACCAAAGGAGTCAGGAAGGAGCCAGGTCGCGACAGGGAACCACATAGTGGGAAGCTGAACTCGCAGGTTGCGTCCTGCAGCGTTGACGGGCCCGGAGCGGGGCTCTGGCGGAGGCATGGCGAGGGCTGGAGAGCCCAGAGCAGGGCTCTGGCGGAGGCATGGCGAGGGGTGGAGAGCCCGGAATGGGACTGCGGCAGTGGAAAGGAAAGTTGGACTCTCAAGTTATCTTTTTTCTTCTTAGCTTATTCTAAGTTAATGTGAATGGCAGCATGTGTGTACTGTATTTTTCATTGTATTTTTACATTGAATACACTCGACAATAAATAATTCAATTCAACTCAATTCCAAGTGCTGACAGTAGAAGTAGCTATATAACTTGACACTTTACAACTTTCTAACAGAAATTAATATTATGAATCTTATAGCACTTAGTAAAACCAACTGTCTTTTGTATTTTTTATATACACAATTTGGGACAGTGGAAAATATAAGAGGAATACCAATTTGATAGAGATAGCATCTGGAATACAATGAATAACAGAATTCAAGCAGTCCTTAGAAATAAGCAAGTCTGGGACAGACCAGAAGGAGTATAACCAGTAACTTTGGAATGCATATTAATAGGATGCATAGAAAAATCGCAAGGCCTGGAGATAACCATGCCTGTTAAACACCATGAAATCAGGGGAACCTGGGGCTGTCCATGGGAATGCCAGTCATGGATTAGGTGTTTCATTGGATTAGGTGTATGGTATAAGGGGGAAGGACATAATGACCATGCTGCATGTGATTACTGTAACACAAAATACTTTATTTCGGTGTAAAAATCAGTGCGTGTCATTGATCTCTCTTTCGAACTGAGCCATAGATTAAGAGGACGATTGGGTTCTTGCATCGAAGCCAGCTTCAGGGAACGTCTTTGGCCCTCTCCCTGAATTAACTGGCTGTTGCTTGAATTAAATCTGCCACTGCATGAATCCTGCCTGCCTCCTAAGTCTTTGTTCCCAGTCAGGAGGAGTTACGCTTCTACAGTGGGGGATTCAACAATGGTCAGGTCATTGAACATAAAGGGGCGATGGCTGCTGGTTTTTCTTTTATTGGCAATGATCATTGTATGACACAAATGTTACTTACCATTGATCAGCCTGAGCCAGACTGTTGTCCAGATCTTGCTGCATTTGGACACTGACTGTTTCAGTATCTGAAGAGTCTCCAATGATACTGAACATTATTCGCTGATGACTGTACATTCTGACCTCAGAACTCCTAATGGAGGCATGGACATAGCATAACTATCTTCAGTTGTTTGATCAGGGGCTCTTGGAACAGTGGCAGCATCCCTACCTCCCAGCCAGAATGCCCACGTTCAAGTCCCACCAGTTCCAGATGTGTGTCATAACACATCTAAACAGGGTGATTAAAGATAGATACCTTGAGGTGCTCCTGCAGCGATATTCTGGAGCAGACCGGATTGTTGTGGTTGTTGGAGGTCAATCTCCGGTCAACTACATAGGATGTCATCCCAGCAGAATCTTCCCCCTCAGTTCCCATGCAGTTTTACTGAAGCTCCTTGATGGCACACTAAGACAAATGCCGCCCTTGATCTCAACAGCAGTCACGGCTCGAGTTGAGCTTTCTCATCCTTTGGACCAAGGCTGTAATGAGGTTAGGTACTGAGTTGACCTAACGGAATTCAAACTGAACCTCAGCAAGCAGGTTATTCTGAAGTTAAGTGCTGCTTGATAGCACTGCCAAAACAACCTGATATCACTTGGACGATGATTGAAAGTAAACTCACCTGGCAAGATTACCCAGGTTGGATTTGTTCTGCTTTTTGTGGATGGGACATACCTGGGTAATTTTCCATCTTGCTGGGTAGATACCGGTGGTTTAAATGCACAGGAATAGCTTGGCTAGGTGCATAGCCAGATCTGGTGCACAAGTCTATTGTTGGAATGCTGCAAGGCCCCCATAAACCTTTAACTATTTCTTGATATCATATGAAATGATACATTGGCAGCTGTGAAGTTGAGACCTCAGGACGTGGTAGAGATGGAGCATCCACTTGACACTTCTAGTTGGAGGGGCTACAAATGCTTTGGTCTTTTCTCTTGCACCTGTGTTTTATCTATCCCATCACTGGGAATGGAGATATTTCTGACGCTTTCTCCTCCAAAGAGTAGTTTAATTGCCCACCAGCACAGATGAAGAAATGTGGCAGGACTGCAGAGCTCAAGTTTAATTTGTAGGTTGAGAGACTTGGTCTATCACATTCTGCTGGGCACTCAAGTAGTTTTATATTGTGGATTCACCAGGTTAACACCGTATTTTTAAGCATGCTCCTGGCATACTATCCTTCCCTCTTTATTGAACCAAGGTTAATTCTGTTGCTTGGTGATTGTAGAGTGGAAAATTTGAAAAAAGTTCATGAAAATATTATTTGGCAACTTGGGATCTTGGAGGAAAATAGATTTTTCTATCCTTTTTGGGCTATTTAGAGAATACGTTTAAAAAAGCCCATGCACATCATAGGAAATATATTGCCCTTACCTTTTGAAGAGTAGCTGCTGTCATAACATCAGCAGATGATTATTTTGTTTAAAGCAAAGAAAAAATGATAAACTATTAGTTTTTTTGGTATGGTTGCTTGAGGGATAAATACTGCGAGTAATCTGCAATATTTCACTCGAAGGATGACAAGAGTCACAGCTTACTATCTTATCAAAAGGAAATCATATCCAACAGTGCAATGACATCCTCAGCACAGGACTAAAGTCTCAGCCTAGATTATATCCTCAAGTCTTGAGAAAATAATTTAAACAATGCTTCTCCAATTCTAGACTAAGATTTCTAATATCACATAAAGACTGATAAATTAGTAGCTCAATACAGTCTTGATCCAGATATGATTGCAAAAGCTAATATATCAGAAGAAAGCTTTGCTCACCATCAAGGCAATATTGGCAGTGACCAATGACAGCAGGACACATGGACCATAAAATTTACATCAAAAGGTGCTGTTTAAGAGCAATTAAAAAAGAACACAGCAATTGCCATTTGACTTTTGCCACAAAACCACGTAGGTGCCCTTAGATGTTTCAAAGGAGCTGGGTGTAGTCTTCTCACCACTTGACTTCTTGGATCCTATCCTTCCTACACTTATTTTTTAATATGCTTTATCTTCACGTGATTGTCATTAATTGGTAATCTTAAATTTACTATTTATCTAATAGAGTGCCCTTTATTTTTGTCTCTAATCTAATAAGGTGGTGATGTTTGCTCCCCCCCCCACCCGTTTATATTATTCTTATGTCCCAGCGGTATAGTAGAATCCTTGATCAACACTGCACTGCAGATACCCTTTTCCTACATTATCTTTCAGAACATTTTGTCATTTGGAATACTCAACATAACCTAAGTTCAAGAACATGCTCAGTTCTTTCACCATATCTTCATAGCAATCTGTGGTTCTATCTAACAAACTATGTTCAACATACTTTATGGATGTAACTCAAACACGACGCAAATACTTACTTCAATTGAATTCCTTTTCAGCTTTACCTTACAACTCCCTCCTCCAACCTTATAAGTTCGGAGATATTGGCACTCTAATTCTAGACTCCTGAGAATCACAAATTTTAATTATTCCACGTTTGGTGGCTGAGCTACAGCTCTATGCTCCAAACTCTGGAATTCCAACCCTAAACTTATTATTATTTAAGTCACATTTTAAAACCTACTGTTCAACTAACATTTGGACATTTGTAAAATCTTGACTGCTATATTGTTTTATAATGCTCCTGTGAATCATCTGGGGATTTAAACTCCAATTTCAAGTTTAATTGCTTTAAAAATACTCAACAACAGATGCTGTTTACTCTTTCGTTCACAGCACTGGAAATTAGCCGTTCTTTGACTCTATCTACCCTTTAACCTTTTCAAGCTAAACCTAATTGATAAGTCTATGACTTATATTTTTAAAGTGCAATACTATTTGTGAACTTGTTACATTAGATCTAGCAACTCAAGACTGAGCATCCATAAGACCGTGGGCCAGCAGCAGCAGAATTGGACTCCAACCTCATGGCTTGGCATATTTCCCCTTCCACCATTGCCATCAAGCCAGGGGATCAACCTTGGTTCAATGGAGAGTACAGAAAGGCATGACAGGACGAGGATTAGGTATTATTAAAACTGAGGTGTTAACGTGATTAAGCTACCAAACAGGACCATGTGCATACAAACAGCATAAGCACAAGTAAAGCGATCAGACAGCTAGATCTAAGCTCTGCAGTCCTGCTATATCCAGTCATGAATGGTGGTAGACAATCAAATAACTCACTGGCAGAGGAGGTTCCACAGATGGAAGAGCACAATGCATCAGTGAAAAAGATAAGATTGAAGCATCTACAACAATCCTCCTTCAATGGTCTCTAGCATCACAACATACAAGGTCTTCAGTCAATTCTATTCACTCCTTGTGATAATCAAAACACAGCTGGGAGCACTGGATAATGCAAAAGCGTAGAGCCCTGACAACATTTAAGACAATAGATCTGAAGACTTGTGCTCCAGAACTTGCTGCACCCCTAGCCAAGTGGTATCTACCCAACAACGTGGAAACTTTTCCAGGTATGTCCTGTACACAAAAGCAGGACAAATCAATCCTGAACAATCACCGCCCCTTCAGTCAACTCTTGATCAGCAGGAAAGTGATGGAAGGTGTCATCAACAGCGCTTCCAAGCAGCATCTGCTCAGTGGCATTCAGTTTGGGTTCCGCCAGGACCACTTACTCCTGACCTCATTACAACCTTGGTTCAAACATGTGCAAAAGAGCTGAATTCCAGAGGTGAGGTGAGAGCAATAGCCCTTGATATTGAGGCCACATTTGACTTAGTATGTAGTCAATGGGAATCAGGGTGCAAATTCTCCACTGGTTGGAATCACACCTGACACATAGGAAGGTGGTTGTGGTTGTTGGAGGTCAGTCATCTCAGCTCCAGGACATTTCTGCAGGAGCTCAGCAGTGTAGTGTCCTAGGCCCAACCATCTTCACCTGCTACATCATAAAAGTCAGAAGTGGGCATGTTTGCGGATGATTGCACAATCTTCAGCACTCCTTAGATACTGAAGCAGTCCATAATAAAATGCAACAAGATCTGGACAATATCCAGGCTTAGCTTGACAAGTGGCAAGTGACATTTGCAACATATAAATGCCAGGCAATGACCATCTCCAATAAAAGACAATCTAACCACCAGACCTTGACATTCAATAGCAGTACCATCTCTGAATTCTCCCATGAACAACATACTGGAGGTAAACATTGACCAAAAACTCAATTGCACTTGCCACATAAATAGTAACTTTATGAGGTCAGAAGACAGGAATACTGCAGCAAATAACTCACCTCCCAACTCCCTAAATACTGTCTACCACCTACAAAGCACAAGGCAGGAATGAGATGAAATACTCCCCATTTGCCTGCATGGGTGCAGCTCCAACAACACTCAAGAAATTTGACTCCATCTAGAACAAAGCAGCCTGCTTGATTGGTACCAAATCCATAAACATCCGCTTCCTCCACCACTGACCTCAATAGCAGCAGTGTGTACCACATGCACTGCAGAAATCTGCCAAAGATCCTTAACACTTTCCCACAACTCCTTCCATCTAGAAGGCCAAGGGCAGCAGATGCATGGGAATACTACCATCTTCAAGTTCCCCTCCAAGCCACTGACCATCTTGACTTGGAAATATATTGCCATTTCTTCACTGTTGCTAGGTCAAAATCCTGGAATTCCTCCTCAATGGCAATAGTGGGTCTACCTACAGGCCATGGACTGCAGCAGTTCAACAAAACAGCACACCACTTTCTCAAGGCCAAATAGGACCGTGCAGTAAAAATGATGGCTGGCCAGCAACACTCACATGCCACGACTGAATAAAAAAAAGGCATTATACTGGTTTAGGGCCACACCCCCAAATGTCTCATTATGCTTTATTTTTAAGATCGAAGAACTGCATCGTAACAACTCATTTTATAAAGAAATAGTAACAATGCTTCAAGCTATCAGTGTACTTTTCAAAAGAATGCCCTCAGCAAAAACAAAAATTACTTCTGTTTTGAACATGGAATGTTGTAGCTGTACAAAGTTCCTTGGAAAAAAATTTAAAAACAACGGAATCGACTCAATCATGGGAGTTGAATACCAACAAATATTGTTCTAACTGTAGTATTTTATCTGACGTGTAATTCTTCATCAATTTGCTGAAGGTGCCTCTCACTTAAAACTCTCTTATCAGAACAGATGAATCCTTACATCACGCCAATAAATCCAAGATTTAGATCAACAGTTGTGAACTTAAACGCAACTCTACTGAAGTACCATTAGACATTTCCATAAAAATCATCATATAAATAAAACATTGATACAATACTGTGAAACAAATAGTGCTTATTGGCAAGCATTATCACTGAATACGTTCATGGAAGTGATGCTCTTTTAAAAGAAATAAAGATTAATATTAACTATTAAATATTATTTTCTAGTTGAAAAGGAATACAATCCTTTCCTCGATAAAACAAGGTGTAGAGCTGGATGAACACAGC